GTAGAGACTCAAGGCAGCGGAGGTCAACAAACAATATCCCGAATTAATCCCTTTCACCACTTCCTACAGTCATAAGATAAATGTCGTTGCAAGATGGCAACTTTACTATCACTCAGCTTATTTCAAAATAAGCTAACCAGTAAAACTAAGAAACATTTCCTGCCCAAGTAGCATTGTCACACTGCTCTCAAAATTTACGTAAAAAGTTTTATGCTTTTTTGTACATTAACTTTTCTATTATTTCAGTTTTGTACATGTGGCACAATAGCTCCATATATATCTATTCCTCAGAGACTTTAAATACTACATACTAACCAGAATAGGAGAGTCCTGCAATCTGCATATAGAGGTCTTCTTCAGAGAAACTTTCCGGCAACATGAGAAAGGCTGCTGTGACTGCACTCTTCAGATTGCTAACAAGAGCAGCTTGCAGCTTGCCATTCTCATTCTGTGTCAGTATTTTCACCTGAAAAATCAGAGTTGTTGGAAGCTGAGTGGTTGGAAAGCACTAATGAAGATGAAGCTAGAAATGTTATTAAAAAAAAAAAAATAGACTATTTCCTGTCATTTTATTACATTAAAAATCAGGTCATCCACTTAAAAACAAAAACACAGCGTAAGAGAAGAAAAATTAGACCATTACAAAAAACTATCTTACCACACTGAAAAGGAATAGGGAAAAAAAAAAAAAAAAGAAATTTATCCTTTTTATCTTCATTCATTTTTTTTTCCTTTCTTTTGATAGGATATAGTAATCTAGGATATAGAAATGTACCGGAATAAAATACAGACGTTAAGAATCTCTTGCAGAATACTATTATCACAGAATATTAGACTGAAATTTAGTCTGATTTACAAGACAGCTGACTACGTTCTTTCAGAAACGATTTCTCCACTTTCCTACTGCAACCTTCTACCCTTTTCAAGTGTTCTAGATAGGTAACACCATCTTCCTTTACTTTTAAAAAGCAGGTTTTTTACAGCTGTTTACCTGTTTTAACTCAAAATTCAAGTTCCACTGGCAGGTATCAAACAATAAATCCAACTCTACTTCTCACAAAAGAAACCCAGCTGCATGCAAATGAATTGCATTTGTTTGAAACTCTGGCCTATTTATACCTAAAACAGCGAAGGCACCTTATCACAGATTCAATAAGGAACTTAACGGAATTATATGTAGGTTCTACACAAAATTATTGCAGAAAGGATATCAACAATGCATATTATAGCTGACAATATATTCAGAGCTTAGACTTTAATTAAATATTTAAAAGTTGCTAATTCTAGAACAGTACCCTAGTTTGATTTGCAGGTTAATGCAACAGTATACAGGCTATTCTTTTCAGTCCTTCTGCACTAAAGCATCGTTTTGCCTACCACCAAATCTATGCAATAGTCTGGAATGGGTCCCAAGTGCATTTCTAAAAAACATTACTCTTTTTTTGTTTTCATTTTAAAAACATGACTTCGTTTCACAAGCAAACATTCAAGAAGACCTCCTAACTCTTCTGCGTACTACTTTGTAGTTTCTAGCGTTAAAATGAAAAATTATTATAAAACCCATTAAGCTACAATATTCATCTGCCACAGAACCTAACACTAAATCTGAATCTCTTGAACTCCACAGAAGTGTTTACTGAATGCATACAGACTTATTTAAAATCCAATATAAAAATGTAGGTAGATTATGAGGATGAACTTAAAATATCATCAACTAATCCAGCTGTATGCATTTATAAAGCTTGCTGCTTCAAGGAAACCATAATTAAAGGGTAGCTGGGAATAAAACACCAGAGTAAAAGTTCTTTAAAATGTGAAGCCCAGAGATATCATTCCTCCTTATACAGGACTTAAAGGCTTGCTTTTGATATATACTAAGCTTCAAAACTTACATGCATGGAACACTACTGCAGTAATACCATTTATGAAGAAATTTCAAACAACTAGACAGATCTCAAGAAAACAGAGTACAACCTTAAGCACACAGGTATGGCAAGAACGAGTGATGATTCTTGTTGTGGTTAAGGTTGAAAGAATTCCAAAGCAAATTCAGGTTTTTTCATAGGATAGAGAAATTAAGACCAAAAAAAAAAAAAAAACTCTAAACAAAATAAAATAAAAAAAAACTAAGCCTCCCAGTATGACTTAAAAAAGATACTTTAAAATACTACTGACAGCCCTCCCCCTCTCTCCCCTAATTAAACACTCTTTAATAGTTCCTCCAGGACAAAAGTAAATACGACTGTTTATCCTAAGCCAATACTCACACACAATATTTAAGAAAAAATTAGTAACTTCAGATGCTTTTTAAAATCTTCCTCCTCTCAGAAAATATAGATGTCATTTGTGCTTTCTTCCCTCCCTCAGGAATCTTGCCAGTTTTGGAGAACTTAAAACTAATTTTATTCTTTTCTTTTCCAGTACAGTTAGATGGGCATTTAGCTAAATGAAGTTAGGAACTTCATTCAGGATGAACAATTAATAAACTCCTAACACATAAGCAAAGAAGTCTGGGAAGAAAATTCAGCATTTCTTAATAGCAATTTCAAACTCCATATATTTTGCCAAGCATTCAGGAAGGATTACTTGCTCAAGGAAACCAGTTTATAACAGAAACAAAACCTTCTGTGAAAATTCTGCCAGTATTTCCAAGCTAGAGCAAATGTTTCAGCTCATCTGCTAGAATAGCTTGGATGGCTTTTACTTCCAGAGTGACAGCTTTGTAATGCAACTCCAGCAAGGCACTCAGCTCTTCCTCCTCCTGAGAAGAGCCAAGCAGGAAATTCCCAGACAAACTGTTAAACAATATTAATCCACCTCTAGCCAGTTGTGTCGAGAACTAGCACAAATGCCATGTAAGAGCTTATAGCATATTAAAAATAAAAAACCCTCCTACAAAATAGTCTTATTGTACATTTTTAGAAGCTTTCCTTTACCACTATTTAAAAGTATATATCAAAAGATCAAAACGATGCGAAGCCAGACCATCAGAAATTTGAAACCTACAGAATATATCCAAACAAATTATTGATCATATCTGCAGAAGTAGTGCAACTTTTTAAAATCCCAGTTGGTGATTTTGCAGATTATTTTACAAAAATTACAATTTAAAAGATTCACCTAGCAATCTAATCTTTTGGTCAAATTCTAACTTCAGTCCTGCAAAATTTATTCAATCCAAATTCCTGTGAGCTTTCTGCAAACAACCTCATGCGTATGTGCTTAAAAGATCCAAGAGGTAACCAAGGCACAGATAACTTGGACATCTGTTTAGTGTCCAAACAAAATACCGAATTCACCCTTGCTGTGCAAGTATGCACTCCCCATTGAATTTAATGGAAAGGTATGAAGTGCAATTTATAAATACCGGAATTATGAAAAAAATCTCTAGTAAATCAAAGCAGCAACAAGTACAGCTACACTGAAAAAAAAAACAGTCTTGTTAATATGAACTTCAAAATCCTTCAGTTATTTTTCCTCAATGTATTAAGTTTTCTTCTTCATAAAGATAACAGCTATTCTAGCCTATTTCATGTCATAATGAGTCGCTAAAAATACGGAAAAAATAATTGTGCTGAGACAATATATTTAAAATTACACCCCAAATTCCTAATCAAAAGCATAACTAATTTATACTTCGTTTTAAGGCTTGAACTGAATTCTCCCTCCCTCCCAAGAAAATATAACTTAGCGTTGCTGCCATCTGCTGAAAGCACACCAAATCAGGCACTTAACAGAGAGTACAGGCTTCCCATTTTTCTACAGCAATCAATTTTGCATACATTATCAAGATAACAAACTACACAATAACTACATAGGAAAGCAGCTTTCATCTTTATAGTTATTAAAGATTTCCACTTCATAAAAAATAAATATCATTCGTTAACATTAAAGAGACTTCAACATAATACAGTCCAGAGAGTCAGGATGTAATATGGCCAGAACACTTTGGTTAATATATCTTATATTAGGTTTTTGACATAACACATAACTCACTTAAGATCTAAATTTCATTTCCCTTCTGAGAGATTACTTCTCTAGCAGAACTAAGGCCCTAAATCAGGTGATTTGTTCACTGCTGACTCAGGAATCTGTAAGAACTAACTACTATTGATAATTTTCCATCCCTGCAATTTCTTCTGTTTTAAAGACGAATAACTTAACAGACTTAACAGTTACCGGTTTTTGTAGACGTCCAGCAACATAGAGGGTTTTCCAGTGAAATAAGTCATCAATCAGGGCATCAGTGCTAATTACACCATATTTTATCATCTGAAAAGACAAAGTAAAGAGTTTAGAACAACCATATACTTATACGGTTTTTATTTTCTTGAAGTTATTATTTACTTACTATAACTGTCATTAATGCTAAAGAAGATACTCCGACAAATAGAAATTGGAACAACAACAAGAATCTCACAAAAAGTCAGTTTAATAATACTCGAAGAACTGCTTAAGCATCATATAAATAATGATAAGAGCTACCTAAGTACAAAGCTGCAGAGCAGGTTTACTTTGTTTTATTTTGTCTTGCACAAATTAAAAGTAACTGAAAAAAGCAAGGATATGAAATAAAACAGAAGAAGAAAAAACTATTTACAAGAGAAAGGTTAAATTCAACAGCAGCATTGACTGCTTAAAACAGGAAAGCTGAGTTCCAAAAGTAAAACGGAATTTTAAAGAAAAAAAGCATATGGATATTTCATGGAATATGAAAGATAATAACACACTATTTTCTTGCAATTAGTTTTTGAAAGTAATTAAATGATAAGATGCAAAAAGTCCTCTAAGATCCTTTCTAGAAAGAAGGGAAAAAAATATCTTGCTACAGATATTTTATCAGATATTTTATACAGATATTTACCCCAGGACCAATCTCTAAAAGAAAGGACATTGAAGTACAAAAAAACCTAGACTCTGAAGAAATCTGAACATTAATACACAACCCTTTATGAAAAATAATTTTGAAAGGTTATGGCCATATCTGTATAAGCAAAATATTGCAATAAGTGGAATAATTCACCGTATTTTTCTGAAGTAAAACAATAATAAATTTATTGGAGAAATTTTAAATAAACAAAACACCCTACATATTTACAGGTATTATACTGGGGAAATGGTTTGGGAAGCTTTTTACTCTCGCCCTCTGCCATTAAAAAATAACTGGAGATTTTGCAATTCAGTTTGCATAACCAGAAAAAAAAATTCTTAACAGTTTGTTAGCAATCTGCAGATACTAGATTTCCAAAGATTATCCTCAGATCAAGCCAGCCAACTGCATCACCAATGTGATATGACTGGATCGTTATAACACGAAATAAAAGCATAATAAGAGCCAAAAATAGCAAGATTCGTAATAAAGATCATTATATAGATTCTGAAATCCAAGTTCAAAATCCCTTCTTATATAAAGAGAACAAGGCTTGACCCCCAAATTCTTACCTCATTCAGGTGCCTTTTAAACAAAACAGCAAGCACACAACCGGCTCCTGTATCTAGCTCTCCAATCTCATATCAAGAGTTCTGATACATATCCAACGTTATTGAAATCATATGTGCCCTGAGAAACTTTAGTTAGGCATATATTATTCAAATGGCATTTTCCTCTGACTGTACTTCATTTAATTGCCTATTTTTATTATGTATAGATTTTACAACATGCCAAAAATTACTCAAATAAGCACCAACGAACACAAATACAGTGTTCCCTTTCCTGACTCATTCCTCCTACAAAATACTGTAGATATGGACAGAAAAATAGGACTTACTAGATAAGTATGACTTGCCTGGATTTATTACTTATACCCAAGACTCCACAGGCCACAGTGTCAGCCATTATACAACACACATGCCAATTATAATTTGCTATGTTAAATACTTGTATTTAACCTCAAACATGTTTAGAATGCACTTCCCATTACAATGTAGTCAACTACTGAATTCAAATCTTTGTTTCTCCACAGCTGTAAATAGTTAAATACTTTACAGTGATCAAAATCGGTAGACAGCAACTGATAAGCAAAATAAATTCAGCTCCTAAGGTGCTTGGGTTGCAAATTCCAAACATCGTAATTTCTTAGAAGCTAGTGCACCTGTTCTTTTGCTTAATAGTTAGGGTACTGTCAGGAGAAGTTGAGATGTGAATATTGAAGCTACCACCAGTTAAGGATAAACAACAACAAGCAATATGTGCTTCCTACGAAGATATTCACTTAGAACTAATCAGCTCAAAAACTCACACAAACACATTTAACTTAATTTACTCAAACTTGTACTTACCCTACCATTACATGGCACTAAAGTATTGTAGTAAATCCCTGCTCCGTAGCTCTGTATATTACTTATCTGCTTTGGCCCCAAAACTTTGAGGAAGGAATAATGACTCCTGTTCTTTAACAAGTTCATCATATGCCACGTAACAGAATCATCAACAGCAAATACGAAGTCCAACATATTGTTCTAAGAATACAGAGAAAAACAGTTACTTATGTGTCAGAAAGCAGCCAATAGTCATATTATTCTAATGTTCATGTAATACGCAACCACAGGCTGATTGAAAGAAAAGCATTAGTGTCAGATGTAATTTAAAGGTTCTAGCAGAGAACCTAGTTTACAGCCACACAAAACAGCTTAAAGTGTCAGCAAAGACAACTTTTGCTAATACACAAGACTATGGATGTGCAGGAGATGCGGGCAGATTTTGTCCAGCAAGTTCTACCTGAAAGGAGGACTGGCACATGTGCCAAGAGCTGAGCTTCCATGAATAACTAGGAGAAATGACATCTTCTATGAATCCATCAGAACTCATAAACATAAAATGCAACTCTCACTTAGGCACTTTCTTGTTTGAAAAAAAAAATCAGTAATATTTCAAATAAAAATGTGCATAAAATTACTGACATCTGGTAGCAAAAAAACTATATTAGTATCATATTCATTCACTTTTGTCAACAATACAAACTTCCATGCAAACTCTACAGGCTTTTAACATAAAGTGCATTGTTTTGCTGAAAAAAAGTCATCTCATCCATAAACTTACAGGTTCTAAGTTTATAACCTCTTCCTACAGCTACAACAACCTAATATTGGGAGTGATTCGGGCCTAAATCTCCTCACAGATATCTAAATCCGTTCTTACCTGTATTTTGCCTAATTAACTAAAATTGGCTACTAACGGGGCAGCCTGCTAACCACCTCATCCTCACACTTTTTTTCTTTTTTTTTCCTCCCCTGTGGGGGAACTGAAGGTTTTTGCAACTGGGACTTTTGCAGGAAATGAACAGGTTAACAGGCCAGCCGAAAGCGAGCAACGCTGGTGTGTGACCACTTCCAAAGACAGAAGTCGCACAAGCCCCTATTTCGCGACTCCACGACCCCACCACGAGGGCTGAGGAAGCGCCGGGGACTCTCACGGCCCCGGTGCGTTTTGTCGTTGAGATAGCGCGAGCCTCAGTAGCGTTTTCAGGCGCGGGCAAAAGGCCCTCAGGCGCCACCAGCGCTACAGGTGCCCGCCACGCACCTCAGCAACCTCCTTTCCTCAGCTCCTGTAAAAACTACCCCCCTCCCCCCGCAGTAAGTAAATAAATAAACAAACCGACGCATAAGCCTCGGTTTGGCGCCAGAGGCAGGTGCAGGCG